AGTATCACTCTCTAACGCCTCTATTTCATATGGAACTAATCAATAATAATTTAAGTACACATTTGTCTGTAATCACTCAGATGTTTCCCATGACAATCCCTAAACAAGTGTATATGTGATACATTCATAAAAATGAGCACATATGTACACATATTAACATGCGTTCACTCGTAGGTTTACTCTGCTACTACTACTAATAATACTAATACTAATACCAATACCAATACTAATACTAATACTAGTAATACTACCACTTCCACTACTCAAATAGAATGCTCCTATGAATAATAAAATAACAATATGTGTGGAGAAAAAGCACCAACTTTTTTCATTGTCTTATTCTAATTGTTTGGTTTTATGCATACACTCAACTGTTGTTTCTGTCGATGAAACATAGTTGATTGCCAAAATTTTTTTACATATACTTATATATTTAAAGTAGTTTGTTACTATTGAAATACTGAATCATGCTGATATTGATAATAGAAATGAGCAGAGACATGTATTGATTTATGACTGTATGACAGGTAATTTTTTCTCTCAATCAAACGACGTCTTATAGAAAAATCTGATAGAATATTCCAAGATATTAACAAAATTTAATAATATTCCTAAGTAACACTATAAAAAGACTAACTATAATGTATAATATTGTCGCTACGTTTCGACCGTACCGATATACTATATAGTAACAATATACTAAAGCTCAGTTACGGCGAGAATAGTTCATTGGCAACGTCACTGACTGAGAAATTAAACGACACGAGTTGAAACCCAAAGATGAGTACCAGTTCTTTCAGTATTCCAGGTAAACTTTACTGATCACTGCCAACCAGTAGAAAATCTAGGTCATAGGCCTTAAAAGTCCAAAATTTAACTCTGTTAGGAGCTATGAGTGAACACAGCTGGGTTATCTAAAATTAAGATTAAATAACAATTTGTTTCAGATGATATCAGTTTACGATAAATAGATTTCTTTGGTCGAACAAAATCTTTATAAACCACCATCATAATAAACAAAAGTGAAATAATTATTAAGGTTATTTCAGAAAAAGTAGCATAAGAAATAGTCAAACAAATTTTTGTAATGCTGAACGTCGGAAAACGGGTAGTTTTAGAACAATTCATGCGACGGTAAAAAGTTTCTTTACCCAGAGCGTACCAGTTCAAAATGCAATAGCTAATTTGTTTAGAGTCAATGCTTCTAATTATATATAATTAGAAGCATTGACTCTAAACAAATTAGCTTTACCCTTTTAAAAAGACGAATTGATCACTACATATTAGCCACATCAATGATTGTGAATAACTCTGCATGATGACATTGCTCTGTCAGTCAACTTAGTATAATATAAAAGTTTCCTATTTATTTGTTTATACAAACTTTTGTGTTTTTCCTTCTGTACCCTAGTTCCAGCCACTCTCTTGGAACGCATACAAATTGAGTCTAGCTCTATTAACCTATGTACTAACAAAAAATGATGTGAATCGGTAACGACACAAATGAATTAGATGTATAGATGAATTAACACTATAGCCGAAAAGCTACACTGAATTAGGAGATAAAAGGAATTCAGGATGTTTACAAGGTAAACATTAGCCGTTTTAACAGTAGCTGTTGTATAAACACTTAGCAAATTAAGACAACTCATAAGCGAACGATATTGCTTTCGATTAGATCTTCATAAGGCTTTACTCTAACGTACAAGAATATATGGAAATATTAAAATAATCAAGGCAGTTTATAAATTAATGAAAGCACTGAACAAATCACATAACTAAACATTGTAAGTAAGGGGTACAGATTAGTGATGTAATGATAGATGTACTAACAGGTATAAAAATAATAAAGGCTAGAATAAAGGTGTCCCAACGTAGAAAGTGGTTTAAAACTTGGAAAAAAGCAGATATTAAGACAATAGTCGTTAAAAGTTATTAAGAAATAAGAGCAAAGCCTGATGAAGACCTAATTGAAAACAACATTTTGCCTGTATTTTTTGTTTCAATTCCCACAATGGAAATTTTTAATACTAGGTACATTGTACTGTCATAGAAAGCAATAAAAAAGTTCATTAAAAGCTGGATCTCATTCGAAATATTCAATGGTAAATATGTACAGGGTTAATCATTGACCACTGCAAAGGGATGTGTGTTAGCATTATTCAACCAAACTGAACTAACAGTGAATTTTACAAAAACATGAAACCTGTCCATCAACGTTAGTCATGCGTACCATTTAAATCTAATAATATAGTTTAGCAAGTGAATATGAACAATTCTTATTGATATGAAATTCACCAATAAACTTTGGTGTTTACATTTCAACTACAATAATAACATATTTTGAGGAATCACTCTGATTTGCTAGTGTGATCAGATTGACAGATTTTTTCTATTAAGGTTCATTAGTTGTGTAGATGAGATTGACAAACTATTTCAAAGTAAATGTTGTTTTTGTATAGAAATCTGTCCTAATTCAATTTAATAGATCCATTATAAAAACCAGTCTTATGATCGATCTTATACGCTAGAGTCTATATATGTCAGCCTCAATATCGATTTAATAATTTTAAATTATGTTTGAAAAGTTTGAATTGCAGTAGTCACAGTCGGACCTTGTTTAAGCTAAAAAATACCAGCATCTAGTGGATGAATATGAGTATTGTGTCAACTGTCAATCATTGTCTATATATATATATATATATATATATATATATATATATATATATATATATATATATATAATTTAAAAACAACTCATGAATGTTAGTAAATAAAGCAATTAGTTTTGATGATAACGATCTTATTTGCTTAGTATGTTTTAATTTAAATTGCTAGATCTAATCAATCTAATCAAAGACTAATTTTAACTGGATAACTATAGTAAATTAGCAAGCACTGTTTGGTCTTATCATGAGTCAACTCATTGTTGAACTTTTCAAACCCATCAGAGATTGAATACAGAATACATCACAAATACCTTTTTACCATTAGACTGGTACCCAGTGATCCATATTGCCAATTTCAGTTGATTTACAACACTGGATAACCATTGTCAATTGACCTGAGCGATAAGTGTCTCATGCCTGATATAGTTAAACTTCAATGGTTACGAAGTCTCTTTAGAATTTCCACGAATTTCTCTTCACATTACTAACGTCTAGACAGTTGAATAGACGGTAGAATATTTAAAAACTATTAAACTGAAACTCAGCAACCTAAAAGAAATACACCAACTATAAGGTTTAAAGATCCTGTGTTCGATCGTTTTTCCATTCACGAATGCGTACTGCTGAGAAATCTTAAACTAAAAAGATGCTCCTCTCTAGTATTTCTCCATTCAGAATGGTTGTTTAGCTAAAGCTGGTACGTGATGTGAAACTACAAGCTGAACAATTTTAATAAACCATTTTTGCTAATACGTAACAATATCTTAAAAGAAATGATTATGATAATGCTTCATATTTATCTTTCGATTATAACCTAATAGTATAAATTTGCAAATTAGTAAGCCAGAGAGATTAAATTTATCCCTAGTCATATACAGAACACACTGACGAACGGCTTTTAGAAATTTCACATGTTATCAACTCATCATGATACGGTTGAATACCTTAGCAACATGGATCATTCAAAAACTATTGAACAGTTGTAACTTCCTGGTTTTCAGACCCTTTAATACTCATCATTCACAACTCTGTACAAGACTTGAATCAGTACATTCCTGTCACTTTATGTAAATGATAACAATACAGTTGCAACGAAATAATATACATCATCGACTTGTTTGATCAATTTTTTACTTGCCAATATAACGAAATGACTAATTTAATATCAACAATGAGTTACTAATTTAAAAGAATAACTTTTACAGTTATTTCTGAGGGATGAAGTAAACCTTCTGTTTGACAATACCCCTTTATGTTTTATTGATGATGAAAAATATGGAATAGAAATCAATTTTGCATTCAACTACATTCAGTTCTCAGTACATCTAAAGTGAAAAAGACTTATTTTACCAGTATAGATTGATTATTTCTTGACATAAATGGTAGTACATTGAATATTCACCTAATTTTCTAATAATAAGACTATGGTGAAAAGAAAGGAAGCGCCTAAAATAAATATGTGATCAATAAGTTAATCTATAGAACAATAAACAGATATACTTTACTATGGTAACCGTATTAGAAACTTTACTCTCAATAAAAAGTTCCTAGATAGTTAATTTACACTAACATTGATTGTACCCCTATTTCAATATATATATATATATATATAGTAATACCCATCAGTCACGCCATTCGTTATAATCTTTCCATTGATGAAATGAGCGTCCCAGAATAAATACAATGAAGGATAACTTTAAATCGTGACACCAAACAAAGCACAGTATTGTACATCTGCCATCAAAAAGTTTTATAATTGCCTTGTACAGCCCGTTAAATGGTATGTCTGGGACAAGTTTAGAAATACAACACACCCCTTGGAGGAAACCATATATATTTCAGAGCGACTTATATAAACGTCTGCCAACCGAACACGTTCAAAAATTAAATATCAAAATTATGAACAAGCGTTTCAACCTTTTCTATGAGGATTGAATGGACTGTTAAATTTTTTTTCTTATATTAGATTGAGCGGTGAACTTAATATTTAAATTCCTTCATTTCACCTAATTACCTTGACTCACGTTTATCTATCTTATATTTCATTTTCTATAGAGCCAATCGTCTTTAAGACCACCGCTGAGGAAGACTAATTCTGTAAACTTATTTGGGGATTTCATCTCTTCCACAGAATAATAATATTTGATCACTACGCCTCGTTAACAGTATCAATTTCAGCAGCTTCATTGATGATTAATTATCAAGTGACAAGTCAATTATCCTTGTACTCGAAAACTGGAAATTGATTACATGGAAATATCTATAATGAATTTGATGAGAACACAAATACGAATTGCAAGAAAAAAGAATCTAAAAAATCAATAAACTTACTTCGCTTCGGGTTTCAATTCGATTAATGGTTTTACACTACAATCGCAATTCCATAAATTTTTACCTAGTTGAATTTTTAAAAATTGATCATTTTGTATACGTTCAGCTAGTTCTTTCCATGGTATATAAGTTAATAAGTTTTCAGATAAGTTAATGTCTTCTAAATGTGTTAACAATTGTTTAAAATTATTTGGTAATTGTGTTAAATGTGTTCGAACAAGATATAATCGTGTTAATTTATTTAATATAACAAAATCATCAATGTTATCTAATGCATGATCATTAATGCGCAATGTATTTAATTTTTCACTTAGACCAGCTAAAGATTGATCATCCAAACGATACGGACCATCGACATTACTCAATGATAAACGTTCTAGACTATTACGACTAAATATATTAAAAAATTTCGGTTCAATTGAATAAATCGTGGATTTTTCGATTTGTAAACGTTTAATCTGTGCACCTTGATATTTTTCAAATGATTTAACGTCTAGTTTAGTTTTTACACTTTGTATAATCAATTCATATTTACCAGTTAAATTATTTAGAAATGAACTTGATGGGAATTCATTGGTACATATAATTACAAATTGAGCTGGTTCACAACTCCCATGAATTAATTTAATCGGAATAGAATATATAGTAAAGAATAATAGAATCAAATGAGTCACTGACGAAGACTTTCGAGAAAATAACTCTGAACTAAATAACATGTGAAATAATTTGTGAATATTAGTAGTAGTAATAGTAGTAAGTATAAATGATCCAAATGTTTCCTCTTGATCGTGTATGCTATTACCTGACAGATTCTTTGCTATCAAGTTGGTTGTTGATGATAGTATTTAAGCAGTTGGTAAATTATATGGATTAATGGGAAAGAAAATAATGGTATTTCCAAATCCGATACAAGTAGCATACAATGATAACAGAAGTTCCAGTCAAATTTGACCCAATGTAATTTTAATTTCAAAAAGATTTTTATATATATATTTATAAGTATTCAGAGTTGATTTATTAGCGGTTAACTACTCCGTGTTTTTAATGACATTTATATACATATATATCTCCATTAATAACAATTAAAATAACAGTAAGTATTAACCAGATTTTAAAACAACAATAATTAAAGTATTTCTCTCTCTTGCTCTAAAAATGTCGTTCTCCTTGATGGTTTACGTATTTTTTTTAATTACTATGTGCCAGTGTTTGTGCTTATGTGTGCGATGTATGTATGCGTTCGTAAGTGGGTAGGTGGGCGACTATTTCTTTGTGTATGCGCGTATATATACGAACTGTAACTCTAGTATTTGTATCCGTTTCTGTTCCGGGGTGATGTTGGACTTTGAACGAATTGTGTAACAGTATTACACAAAATAATTTATATGCACTTTACTCTTTGTAATACGAAATAAAAAAAACTAATATTTTGAACGAATACAAACCCGTATATTATGCGTTGTATTGTTGCGGCGTTATATGAGGATAGTGCAATGATTCATATTCATCGTTTATTTTTGATGGCAGTAATAGTGATAAATAATATTTCATTGTATATAGATACATACACATAAACATATACACGTACATGCAACCTTGTAAGAAGCCAATAAAAATTTAAGTAAACGCCCACTCAATAAACTAATCACAATAGAGTTCAACAATTACCACATAAGAATAATGAGAAGAAATATGAGTGTACAGACATTTGTAATAAACAGACATATTCATCACCCAACCAATCCAAATCAAAAACTTATGCGCATTGGCGACCCACCAATCCACTTTAACTCACAAAACACCAAAGATGGTCTTTCTCAAGTTCATGATGAGTTTAAACGACAGTAGATTACAACTAGCTAATTAAATTTCAAGTTTCATTTAAGGGATATGCCTGATTTCTCAACACGAAAATTTAGGCATTGAGAATAAAAGTTAAGTTATGGGTTCTTGCTCATATGCTACGTGCTATCGAGTATTTTAAATATCGTTATTTATTAGCTGTGTACAGCGTTTTTGCTGTCGCATATCAATATTTGTAATGTTTGCTCTTGTTATATAGTTTTTATCCCAGTAAATAGTAGTTTGACGTAGTTGTTGTTCACTATAAGGGTGAATGTTAAATTAACTGTAATGCGGTTACTTATCTCAATCTAAATTCAAGTAAGTGAAATGCACTATCAATAAAGTCAGAGATAGACTATTGTCAGATTTTTTTAACAAAAATGGGCTCCAAAATCTTTGAAATTTTATTGACCACCCTAAAGGGTGTTAATGAACGAGGATATCTAGTAGTTGTTTAGTAAATCCAGGTTGAAGCAATTATGCATTAAACTATTTTTTTTAACATCATATAAGTTTCTAATATACAACGCTAAACAATCCTAACCATCATAAGTGTCGTCATTTTTTACGGAACTGACATTAATATATAACTTATTTGAGAAAGAAAAGCTATATGAGTACTAATTTATGTTAATAGCCCAATATACCCACTTTCTGAACACACAGCAACTGAATATAACGTCACCGTAAGTCACATATTGTTCATAAGTAAAATAATGCATGTTTGTTTTGAACATGGTAACTGAACTATGTTGTTAGTCAATACGAATTTATGATGTGTCTGTTATAGAGATTATGAATGAATTTCTGTAAACAGAATTTGTAACCACTGAACAAATTATAGACAGAGATCTAACGCATATGGATGAGCGAAATTTAACTTGTACTTTCCAATTATTTCTATTCCACGTACTGATTTTAAAATACATTACGAAGTTTAACCGCTTGGTTCATTACTGATTTGTTGTTTTCAGAATTACATTGGTTAAGCTGGTAATCTATCCATATGTTTTCTGATATACAACTTATGGCTTCTGTCAACTAATTGAAAAGCTAAAACTTTTCCAATATCCAAGTCCATACCACTGAACAACTTAACCAATTGCTGGATATGGAAAATTATGTAAATGAACAATTTACAAGTTGACGATAACTGTGTTTAACATTGACCACTTCCACGTTTATTCAACTAATGAATTATTTGGATAAAAATGTAATAAATATAAGCAATTTACTTTCGTATTGGCTTTTTAAATGTTTCCATTGATGTTTAGGACTGCAGTTGATCAATCTTACTGGTATATATACATCCTGTGCGGATCACCTCGATATTGCCTTAAGTCACAAACATTATAAGCAGAGATGGACCGACCAATTAACAATCAATACAAAAATGAACAAGCTTGAATCTGTCCGGACTCAGTAGCTAAGTGGATAATGCGATGGCGTTTGAAGCGAAAGATAATAGTTTCGATTCCCCGGGCGAACATCAACTCTGGGATGCAGGTATATCCAGCTGACGAGTACCAAATCGGACGAAGCGTACTGGGCTCTACTTCTAGCCACCATTCATCTCAACTATATGCAATATTTAATTTTTTTCTGTAGAAGCATACTACAAGCAAAGAATGTGTAGCATCTCAGACGACAGGTCCTATTCTTTCGCACCACAAATCTTGCTATTTTTCACCCAGATATGCTGCCATAGTGAATTAACTTATGTATACGATGCAATGTTTTCACGAAACTTCTGAAGTGATGCAGTACTTACAAGTTCTCATAACCAAACGGTTACTTATACAGAGAACACATAGATATTGCTAACTGTCACAAACAGTTACCCGTTAAGATTATTAGTATACCTCACCATGAAACTACGATGAAGACAAAAATAAAAATTGTGCTCAATCTTATGGATACGTCATTACTACTGATAAAGGAAGAACAAGATTCGATGCAGAAAAAGAAGTTTACAAGTTGTATATATAGTTAAGTCAAAAATGCAACAACAAAGAACTTTTTATAGTAAACAGAGTTTCTGTCACCATATTTATCCACAATCTGTTGTTTGTGCATTTTCTGGCTTCCTTAAATCTGTACATACTGTTTGCTTTATCTGGGTGACGAAACTGTTGTGCTATTATTGAAGGTATGTGTGTTATCTGTCTTCCATAGACTGAAGTGCCTAAGAATGTGACTGACTATGCGTTTTATACTTAGTCATTGATTTAGCTTACTTGTAAAAGTTCGTCTTCTCATGTATGTCAGAAGCATATGACGGGAAGGACACCGGCATGTCACAAACATTCATCAGTTGCACTCATAAGTGCTTATATCTACCTCGTAAGGCCTGCCACAGTCACCCATAAACATTACTCTTTCCCTACTTGTTGGAATTCACTTAGAGCACTATCAATTTTAGTCCAGCTTCCGAAACGCACTAAAAGCGCTAAAATCAGTACTGAGTAATTATAAAACAAAACAAACAGTTAATCACTGCAATAATACTTCACTAACTGCAGGAAGTATTACTAACATTTAAGGTGATGGATTAGAATTTATCGGTTATTTGACATCTCGCCTTAAATTTCGCGTAAAATGATAATATACACAAAGTCCGTGTATCTAGAATTGTCAAGTTATTCTTATTTATAATACGTCCTTTTCTGAACCTTATCAAGTTTTAAACAATAGCGGTGAAGTCCACTAGAGCAGTTGGTTTCTGAGATCAAGTTACGAAGCAATAACCAAGCCAATGTGTAGACTGCAAAACAAAAGGTTAGTGTTATTTGCAATGATTGTGTAATTTTATTGCGACAACAGACTGCTTAAGCATGAGAACACTTAAAATTCATTCAGCTCAACGGATACCCGATCAAGCCATAGCCGCTAAAATACGGGATCGCTACCACATACAAAGCCGCTCAAAGTCTTTGAAACGAAACGGCGGGAAAGGTTGAGTAAGCCTAACGTTATCACTTGCCAAGATTTATTATGAAGACATGAAGTTACCACTGTAACATTACATATACGAAAAACAATGATTGAGTGCTCTTTCGTTTAGGTGTATAAATTCCTCTGTTAATTTCTGTTAATAATACGGAACTATGGATAGGTAGTTGTGAATGGTGATTTGATTTATGGTGTAAATAGATTGTTCAGTGAATAAATGTACTTGTAACATGGTTCGCTAGCTCTTTTTTGAAATAAATGATCAGTATTATTTCGATAGTTAAGCTTTCATTTTGAATGAGTAGGAGAGGATTCGATAAAAAAAGCCCAGTTAGTTTACCTACTTTTTTATCTTTATTGCTGGTTAACCTCTATGGATGTGTCAACATCGTATATTCTCTAAAGAATCAACTAACACTTGACTGTGGAATGTCAACAATTCAAGTTCCTACACTAGTGAATTACTTCAAGGTGGGTTCCTGACGTTTTACTGTGGATTTATGAAAAATGGAGTTTGAATATGTTGCCAGTGAAACATTTTCACTGGGGACAGTAGATTATCGTCTTGTTATATCATAAATTGATTGAGGTTAGAATGGCCAATAATGGAAGCTAACCTTAATATTCTACTAGCTAAGTACTCTTCCCCATATCTGAAGGTTTTCGGTTTTATTTCCTATGAGGTTGTATCTTCACAACACTAAGGAATCCCATAATAAGACGAGACAGATGTTCAGTACTCCATGGCTTCTAATGATGTCTTGCCGGACAACAACCAGTGAGGAATGCCATCTACAATGAGATACTAGCTTATCCTATAAGCCAAAGAAACTATTTAATGTTAACTTCTCAAAAATCAAATCTTTTGATTGATAATGAAACTAATAACTTTAAATGCAGTCGCCTAACGACTCTCTAC